GCTTGAATCTTGTGCAAATCAGCTCGTCGAAGCATATCAGACAAACGTTGCAGGGAATTTAGATCCACAACCTCTGGAACCCTTGTTGCTGTATATATGGTAAGAAAGAGGAAAAGGAAGAACCCAATCAAATGCCTGAAAGAAAATTCAGAAGTTTAAGAGCAATAATTAGACCAACATTGTTTTGCTCTATTTTTCTTTCTTGAAATACATATTATCAAAACTATGCAACAACTTGCAATCCAAATAGTATACAAGACAATAGTATTAAAAAAAGTAATGACTGCAAAAAGAGGGCATAAAAGAGCAAAGAAAGAATTATCAAGCTCACATTTTGTCGATGAAAATTTAAAACAAAAAGATTTTCTTTTTTCTAAAATTAGAATGCTCAAGACAGCGGGACTAGTCTGATTTACTTGGTTGCCTTGACTTCTTGGATATGCTAGAATGCAAAAATTTATATAATGCTAGTGGGACATGCATTGGATGTACGAAAACTAAGTCGTTGGCGAAGAAGAACAGCTAGAAAATAAAATATACTGATTTATTCACAGTGCCTTCCTCAGAAACCAAATACCACAGTGCAGTTCAGAAGAAAGAATATCCAAACAAAATCATGTTAACAAGAATATTTTTCATTTTAGTAGGTTAATAATATTTACCAAGGAAACCAGCAGTAGTCATAGCACAATTCAATGCAAACATGCAATATAAGCATCAGAATATTGAAAGATCAGATGCTTACGAAAAAGAATCTTACGTCCAAACATTAAGGGTTTCATTGTGAATGGAGAAAATACTGAGTAAGACCTGCTTCAGGGGCCACTCTGCTCGGTAGTGATTGAGAATGAACTCATTGTCTCTTAGATATGCAGGCAACGAATGGTACTCAACAAGCTGGTATTTCACTTTCCTCCACAGGGTCTTCCCTTTCCCTTCCTTTATATGAACCGTGTTTCCATCTTCACAGTCAAATAGATTATCAAATCTTTCGGAGGATGCAATCCAATTCTTGTAGCGGTCATTGATCATCATTCTTTTACTGAATCCAATGCAAACAAGGTACACTGTCACGCAATCAAGCATAAGTAAGTCCAAGCAATTCAAGAAGATGATCCTTCATACTGAACATTAGAATTTGCTTTATAAATGGTAAGTAGGTCACATCACATTTTGATTAGCAAATATACATCACAAACACTGAACAATTTCTCAAACTCTTCCAACTATAGAAATGTATTAATTAGCCCTCCTTACTTGGGCTATGTTTGGAATAGGCCAAGTTTGTTTTTGTAATTCATTTGAAGAGGCATACTTATTTTAACTATCAAATAGTGAAGATCTTTACAAAATCAGAACAACTAGGCTCGTAGTCAATTTCAAATAGAATTAACATCATAATGTACTAATTTAACCAATTTTAATTGAATTCAAAATGTACTTTTGAATTTGGTTGTGAGTTCATTTTATGATTATGTGAGGAATCTCCATTTCTCATGGTTAAAGTTTGGATTCCTAAACGAATTACACAAACATAGTTCATTATTTTGAACATTGCCTTAAGCACAACCTTGTTGCATTCTTCATTTTCTACTTCTGTGTGGATCATCTGTCCATGCTTGAAAAGAAAGATGATCAATCACATCAAATTATCAAAAGGGCACGTAAAACCACACATAAACGCTACAGGGATCATCAATTTTCATTGAATTCAGAAACTAATTCTTTCACATTTCCATAAATGTATTCCTATTGTACCAGTAACCTCTCTTGATCTCCAGAAGAAAACCCATGAAACTATAAGACATGGAAGAATATGCAAATAGTGAAGAAGCTCATCAATCTCATTAAGAAGCTCCTTTCACCAATCACGACCAATGGCAATTCATATATAATGTTAAGGAAAGGCTACAAAATTTAAACAAGGCAAATAATCAGCTAAATATGCAAATAAACACACCTGAAATTGCAAACCCCACCACACAAGAGCAAAACCCAGATGAGACTTCCGATCTATCTGATCAGTTTTGTCGAAATATCTTCCTGCCCAGGAAAAATATTCTGAGAAAATTGAGGGATTACACGAATTTTCTTTATCCAGCTATCTAAAACAGAGAAAATTTGCTACTAAAACTAACGAGAGGAAGATGGCAATCTTTTTGTATATTTTACCCGATCGATGAACACATAAATTGATAACAACGAGGCGATGAGACAGAGGTTGAAGGGGATGGGTCGTTCGTGATTATATTAACGACGAAAGAGTATTCATCGCTCGGGGCCATTTTTGGGTCTGACAAATGGCGATTGCAGGATCAGACAACTCGACTTAGCTTGGTGGGGGTTTGGGTGCGCAACGATCTCTGTGCCTGTTCTTCAGAGTGAAAAATAGAAATTTGAAATAAAATCCGAGTGAGGAAAAATAATTCAAAAAAATTTTGAGCGGTCAAAAAAGTCAAAAGAAAAGAATTCAAAATGTGAGGACATTTTTATTAATAAAATTAAGAATAAATTATTAATTTAATATTAATTTTTTTTTTACTAAATCCAATAACAATAAAAAATAGAATTATTATTATTATTTTTTATATTAAATATATTTAGTGTAACTAATAATATTTTAACTACATTTTTACTAATGTGTATATAATTAATTTCTTTAATATTATTATTTATTTATACTAAAAAATATTGTACTTAAATGGGTCAGTAATATCATATTTTACAATTGAATTTATTTTTAGTTTATTTTATTGGACTATATAATTTAATTTATTTTGATCCCTAATTCATAATAGACATTATAATTCGGTTTGACCAGAAAAAAATTGACACTTATTAGTTGCTTAGGCATAATGATAATTGTAAAATATTAAACCTCACGTGTTATTTTGACTTAAACCAATCATCCATCTACAATAATTTTTTTTTTAAAAAAGGATAAAATAATTATTTTAAGAATTGATTAGAAAATACTCAAAATATATAAATGAATTGAAACACCTTATAAATTTATTATTATTTTCTAATAAACAATAATTTTGTTCGTCACACTTACGAAACTCTTAGATTCGAATAAATTATAATTATTCGTTGTAAGTTTAATCGATTAATTAAAGTTTAAGAAAATAAAATTTAAAAATAAATAAATCTTAATTATAAAATCTTTCAACTTCTATTTTTTGAAGTTCTTAGGTGGTGAGAAAAAAATCACTCTTAATAAATGTTACCATTTCTTAATGCATAAGAAAAAGAAATTTAAAGAAATAAAATCCGATATGACATGAAGAGATTTCCTACTAATTTCTTTATCATGTACACCCAAATTCAAATTAATTAACCAATGCACTAGTTCTCAATCAGGAAACACGCGTGCATTTATGTGTATGTGTATATGTATATATATGTGTGTGTGTGTGTGTATAGGTTCAATGTTAGTGAGCTTCTCATCTTCTCATACATAATTCAAAACAACTCTGTCTCTCTCTCTCTCTATATATATATATATGTCTGTTTGTTTATATATATATGTATCTCTTCGTTTACATTAAACTGATTGCTTCGGGGATTTCTCTGGTTTTCTTAAACTTGACAGTGAAAGCACTGGACGTTGAAGCAGAAGATCATGAGTAACTATCCACCACCAGGGTATTCTTCCAATCCCGCAGGTATTTTCTTTACGACGTCGTTTTCGATTCTTAAAATGTGCTGTACTTTTTTCTTAATTTGTTGATTTGTGTATAAGGTTATCCTCCGCCAGGTGTTAATCCTTCAATGGGCTATCCTCCTCCAGGTTAATTAATTTTTATTGTCCCAGATTTTTTAAGTATTTTATTTTTATTTTTTTAAAATCTTATCGGTTTTTTTGTCTAATAATTAGTTCTCTTTTGCCATGTTCGAAAGTTAATTTCAATTTTTGCTGTCTATGTAGTAATGATAATTTATTAAAAAATAACTGAAATTAATGAATAATGATGACAGGTTATCCGCCACAAGGACAGGGATGTCCTACTCCGGGACAAGGCTATCCTCAGCCTCCACTACCTCAAGTTATTAGTATTCAGCAACAGCCACCTCCACAAACATCAAAGCGTACTGGCTGTGTAGAGGGATGGTGGGTTTTCTCTTACTTATTTTTAAATAAGGATTTTATTTTCAGTAATTACCTTTTTTAGTTTTATTATTATTATTTTTTTTCTAATTTTTTAAAAATCTGATTTGTAGTCTTGCTGGAATTTGCTGTGTCTGCTGCCTGGAGTGGTGTTGCGGTTAAAAGAAGATTTGCTTTGTGTATTTTCTTTTAAATAATCGATATATTTATATTGAATTGAATATTTTCTTCTGATATTTGAGGTGATGGTAATGAGAATACATGTGGGTAATCAGAATGTTAGATGAATTTCAGCTTTTTCCTAATTTTACATTTTGTTTCCTTTTAATTAATAATAACAGATTACTTTTTTTTTTTTTTTTTTTTTTTTTTTTTTTTCTAAATTCATATATTTTAACAATTAATATTGTTTGCGTACTAATAAAAAAATAATAATTTTTTGACGGGAAAAAACAAAAATGAGGAATAAAGTTGAATTCAAACTTTTCTATATTTATGTAAAGGAATTCAAGGGTTGGGAATTTGGGGATATAAAATAAAAATTAAATACTTTATTTTATTTAATTGATTAATTAAGGTTTTAAATTTAATGAAATTAAATATTTGTCTTAAAGGGGATTAAATATAAGGTCATATGGAGTTCCATGTACCGTATCAATTTGCCATGTCGGGGTAAATTTTTAAGTCAAATTCTATATTTTATGTACCGACCGGGAAATTGAAAAAAAAAAAAAAAAAAAAAAAGGGAAAGGCCTTGTCAGCAAACCCAGTCAGCAGTCCCGGCCAACCGGGACCGGCCACGGGGCAAAACCACGTCAATCCGGGACGGACCACGTTGGCGATCCGCGTATGCACAATCGGACGGCCCAAATCAAGCGGGCGATCGGACGGCCCAAATTCAATCGCACGGACAACCCAAATTCAATCAAAAACGAACGGCCCAAATTAAATCAAAATGAACGGCTGAAATCAAAAGGCAAAAGGGTATAAATAAAACCCCCACACCAGACCACAAAACCCTAGCCGCATGCTCTCGCCGGAGATGACGAACCAGAAGCCGGCCGCAGCCACCCGCCGCCGCACCGGAGAGATTTTCGACCGCCGATCGAGGTAAATTTCATACCCCGACTCGTTTTTCCACGCTGATTTCTCCTGTGGCCAAATCGAAGCCAAAATCCCGGCCAAACGGCCGAAAAACACGGCCGAAACCCAGCGGCGCCGCCGCGCCCCTCCTCGGTTTTTGCCTCCGATGAGGCCCTTCCCGGCCTCCGTTTAATGCAATTTTTATATCACCGTAATCACCATTCTTTTCTCTACAGGTTGATCGGAGCCGAATCACCAAAACACGAACTTCACCGAAGAGCTGCCGCACCCAAGAGCACCGCCGCCGGTAAGCTTCGATTTTTCGTAATTTTTTGGCCCCCCGAGGGCCCTAGAGTTGTTTAATCGCAAGGATCGATACAAGTGTGGCCGAATTCGACCGAAAACGGCCAAACCGAGGCGAATGGCCGCCGCAAGCGGCGGCGCCGTCGCCGGAGCACGGCGGAGCCGCCGTGCCGAAATTGTGATATTGGCCAAAAAGGGGCCCTGGGCCTAATTTGGGATTTTTTGGAACACGTGCAGGTACCAGTAGTGCGTTTCAGTTCCCCGGAAAAAATTCAGGGAAAATTAGGGACAGCCTGTAGGCGCACTGTGAAGCCGTGTTCGGACCCCGAAACGAGTAAGGACCCCTCACCCTATTTCCTATCACGGTATTAAAGTTCAATAAATGATAAAACGGTATTTCATGAATCAACGAATGTGTGAAATTGCTTAAGGTCGCTAATGGAGCTCGAGTCTAGTGTGGTTGTCGGTTAATTGTTATTTGCCATGTTTTACAGTTTAAAAGCAGTATGAGGTTTGATGTTTTCATTTTATAGTTTCGTGTGCATATTTTACTGTTTTACCGATTATGGATTGAATGACTGGGATATTGATGTTGTATGTTTGTCTGTTTGGCATAAATTACTGTTTTGCTTGTTTGTATGTGGATTGATGATGCTGACTGAGGGAAAAGAGAATGATAGATTATGTAAATGGGTAATTGTATAATGTGGTCAGCCTGACTAGATATCCTGGGAGATGGTGGACGGACCGGGTCCGTAGGGAACCCTACCGGGATTGTGGTCTCCCATACCGGACGGGGTATGGAGATCTTATGTGTTTTGGCGCCCATACCGGACGGGGTATGGGGACGGCCCTGGAATATGATTTCAAGTGTTAAAAGTTAACGGGTAGCGGGACCCCTATGGATCCCCATGGATACTAGTGGGCTGGTAAAAGAGGAAAAATATGTTGTGTAACGATTGAATTACAAAAGACTTGATAAGTATTATGTTATACAGTTCATATATGATTTCATGATGATGATAATGTTATTGCTTTCGTATACTGTTTTATGGATTCCATCGAGGTAAGTGGATGGTGAAGGATTTATTATTGATAAAAGAATTTGTTGTAAATTATGCTCCATTGGTCTTTTTGTGTTTTCTACCCACCTTTACTTCCGTGACGGTGAGATATCGTGATGTCTTTACTGGGCTAGTGTAGCTCATTCCTTATTTAATCATTTCAGATCAAGAGGACATCGTTCCTGAGCCGGTTCCGCAGGAGGACGACGAAGGAGACGCCTAAAAACTTCATAGTCATATTCGTAACTTTTACTTTCAAGTTTCTCCTTTAGGTAGTTTGATCTTTTATATTGTGTGAGCACGTTTTTGGTTTTAGTGTAAGCGATATTATTCAAATTTTGACTTCGTTTCCGCATTTGATATTTTTAATATACATTTCATTTTAAATTTCCGGGGCTGTTACATTTTAAGGGATAAACAATTTCATGAGAAATAGTTTATTTTTTAAAAGAACTAAAAGATAGCACAGCTGAACTAAATACCAGTGAAGTGTACATCTACGTGGCGCAGACAAAGCAATTTAAGATTCTCAACATGTAAATATTATGATGTTCCACTAACATAGTAATTTAATCACCAATAATTTTTAATTTTTATTTAAGGTTCACCGATCCACATTTAATTGAGAACAAAAATTCTTATAAATAAGTATATTAAGATGTGAAAATGATTAATTTATAATTTTTAATTCAGTAAAGATAATAATTTAATTTATTAATATATTAATAAAACTATAATAATTAAATTAAGCTTAATTTTATCTAGTAATGATGTAGCTAAATGAGAAGATTATTTTGTTAAAATTTTTTAATTGAGATAATCACAATAAAATAAAAATTTTAATTAGAATTTCATTAGAAAGAAAAAGGCCAAAAAAGACATGTCGAGGAAAGAGCAAAATGCACCGCTTACGGCGGAAACAGGGAGAAAACCAGAGTAGCGGGGAAAGGCAGGTACGTTTTACAACATAAGACACCAAGTTTAGCCAAGGCCGCTTAAAAACCCGACACGTACAGGTGACCGCTCATACGCAAATGACGGCAACCAAGAGGAAAAAAAAAAAACTCGCAAAACGTTCGCCCATTCCCTCCAATCACATTCTAACTCATCCGTTTGCATGCACCCAGGAAACGATCATCCGACACGTGGACAACCCACCAAAACCAACCGAGCCAACCGACCCAGTAGGACATAATGGCAAAAGAGTAAAATCAGGTTGCACCAAACCGAAACCTGATAGGTGTATTCACGCATGGCGGCCACCCCAACCACACGCGTTATAACGGGAGGTTAATTGTGATTGGTCAGAGAGCGGGTTTGGCACATGGCTGACTAAGAGTTTTGAGGTTTTGCCCAAAACGCAAAACCGATGGCTTTAAAACACAGACTTATTTCCCAATGCGATATGTGTAGTAGCATGCAAGGTCCCACGCATGGTTCAAAGTTCTAGATGTCCCTTTCTCCAAGCCCCTTAAACACGTACCCAACCGTATGTTCTCCACGTGTCACTTCCTGCTTCCTCTTTGCTTTATGTTGCCTTTCTCTCATTGGACTATCTTTGCTCTTATACCCCACCTCACCTCCTACTCCTCTCCCACCATGTCATTCACCGCACCAGCTTCCTCTTCCTTCAAACTTCAACCCTTTCAAACCTTTATCCCTTCTCCCTCATTTAACCCTTCTTGCTGCATAACCAGAGTTATTCACCATGATCAAGACATTGAGCCCTTACTCAACAACAGCGAAAACGGCTGAGATTATGTCTCGGTACAGACCCATAGCTCCGAAGCCGGAAGTTCCAATGGATCCGATCAGTGACGGCGCCGGCTCATCCATGTCGCAGAAGATAAGGCAATCTCCTTATCTTAGAAACCTCTGGCCTCAGCTGCAAGCTCGACCAACTCGAACCAGAAAGAGAGGCAGGGCTCCACTGTCACCTCCCAGTTTGAAAAGAGCGAGGACTCACCATGTCCTTGGCCTCTCTGTTCCCAGTCATGTTACTTCCCCTGCCAAAGCTCTCTCCTCGCAAGCTTTCACTCATCTTCCTGCGCCAAATCTCGCACCAGTGACTTGCAACTTGGAGAATCCTGCAACACAATCTCCAAGCTTGGTGACTCTTCCTCTTCTTCCATGTTCACCTTCGGTTCCTGTTATCCTCAACCAGGCAACCACGGGACAACCCAGTTGCATGGAGACAATAGATTTGAACAAAGTGGCTGAAATCCCAGAAGAGAAAGATCTGCTGCAGCAATTGCAGACACCTCCCACCACCATCAGTAATGTCATGAAACCGCAGCCGATTCGACCAGTTGGATCTAGAATCAGCGTGGGTTGCATAAATGAGGACCCAAACTTGTTCTCCACAGTGCAAATTCCGAGGAAAGCAGAGGAGGTTGAAGATGAGATGGAGTCTGAAGCCTTACCAGCAGTTATATCTGACTCGAACAACAAAGTGAGGCTGGCCAATTCTGCTTACAGGAAAATGGTGGGTCAACCGGAGTGTTCATGGCTGGAGGCCATGGTGACAAGTGGTGAGCGGGGCAGCAGCTCATGCAAGAGAATCTGTGGGGAAGTGGGGCTTCATTTCTGTGATTCCAGGGTGCCAGTTTCTTCAAATGGATTCTCCTGTTGGGTGAGGATAGACTGGGGAAGTGATGGGAAGAACAACTCCATTCATGCATTCTGTGATGTAGTCAGGTTATCCTGTCTCTCCAAGGATTATCTCTTTACATGGAGGTTCCACACCAGGGAGGCTGCTCGTTTCCGTAGCAATGTCTGAAATTTGAGGTCTAAAGTACATAGTTCGCCTTTGTCTACCATATGTATGTATGTATATAAACATGAGAAATCAAGTAATATAGTAGCCAAATATTGTATTTCGAAATGTTTAAATCCTTTACCATCTAAAGAAATCCTCCTTGCTGGATGCTGGGTGTGTGGGCACGGTTAAGTGCAGCTCATTGAGGAGAGTAGAAACCAGAAAAGAAAATAAGAGACGGAGAAAACAGAAGTAAACTGAGAGAAACGAGGGTTAGGAAGTATACCCCAAGCATTGACAAATGTGATTTTACAACTAAGGGTAGTAAAAACAAGGTTCTCTCCCATACTGGAGAATCTAATGGTTGAAATGTTAATGCTTACAATTAATACTGTAAACTCTATGGTAACATTACCTCAGATTTTGTAATACAGCTCTAACCAGGCTAATCTTAATGAATTACTTTTGTTTATCATCCTCAGGCGTCGCAGGGCCTTTATATTTGAAGTTATCTGCATATGACTTGGCCTGAAAAGAACAGATAAGGCAGTTGCCAGTTGGTGATTTCATGTAATGAGAATATAACAAGAGATAGCAACGGAAGCGGCAACGCCTCAAGATTGAACATTTTGCTGAAGGTCTTAAAAGGTTGCAGCATTCGATTTAAATCTCAAAGATATGCTAATAATAAAAAAAAAATTTCTGCTAGAAATTGAACTGAGAGTTAAACCAAATGGTTCACACCCGAAAAGAGGGGAAAGCAGAGATTTTTCTTTTCACACCCCAAAAAGGGTACGTTCCTACCCTTACGGTTGTAATCTGAAGCGATCATAGATGGTAGTCTGCCAGGAAAAAATGTACCTTCAGCAGAGGGGTGTACCGTTTCTTGATCAGCACAAAGCTATACCAGTCAGCAAGTGAGAGAATCTATCATTTTTATTCTACCAAACTAATAGAAAATATAATGATATCGAACTTTTAAAAAAAGTAAGTGGAATTATTCTAAAAACTTTGTAAATCGGGATATTTTTAATGAGTCTCCATTACCTCGAAAAAAACATTATTTCGGACCACGTCTTTCTGGGAAACCTATTTCCGCACCATAATTGGAGAATACAATATACAATAGATGGATGACCTTATGAAACTTGAAAAAAGTGGTCGCTAAACACAGAAGTGACCCAATTTATGCAATGTAAATCCTTAACAAGGATGGTATAGTCAAGAACCAGCCCAGTAGTAGAAAAGAAAAATAAAATAAAATTTTACCTTTCTTAGATAACTAATTCTGCTAGCATTTTTCTAGAATTCTACTATTTCTTTCTATCATATTCGAAAAGACATAGAACAGCTATAGTGTACCTAGAGAATATTACCAGGGAATGTAACCGTTACTGACCATCTATTACTGGTTGCAGCTAACCTATAAATGTAAGCTTGAAATCTAATGAAAGGTATCAGAAAATATCTAATCAGTTTATCCTATATCGAAGCTTATCCGTCTTCCCTCTTTCCCTTCTTTCCACCTCTTTTTCCCTCTATTCTTCTCAACTTCTATTTTCTGTTTCCTTTCTCTATTTTCCTCTCTTCTCAAGTCCACAACCAGGTTCCTGATGAATAGTATCCAAGCAAACTATCTGACAAAACCATTATCCTCCCTTGCTAAGCTGGTGAAAAACAGAAGGGAAGCTGCAATGCCGATTCACAGCCTGTTGCACAGATCGAAGAATCTGTCCAATGGCTGGATCAGCATATCCAACACTTCATGACGAAAATGTCTACAATCGTTGGTGCAAACTTAGTTGAAAGTAATATGCAGCTACAGAAGATTATCGTAGAGACAATTAGATCTATGTTATCGACTCAACTAACCATGAAAACTAATGTTCCTCTAAGACAGGAACCAATTCTCCCTAAACCCTTCAGCATCTCTCTGCACTCTACCCCTCAATCGCCCCTTCCTTTCATGGTGAACTCAGAAATGAAACAATTCCCCAATCTTTCATTCTCCAAGCCCTATGCACAAGCTCAGGAACATTCAAATGTCGCTGCAACAGGAGAAGATGAAGAGAAATACAAAAAGGGAGAAATCAATGAAGCAGAGAAGGAGAAATGTATGAAGAAGATGATGAAGAGGAATACGAAGAGGGAGAAGTTGTTGAAGAAGAAGATGAAGAGAAAAACAAGAGGAGCTGAACCCACCAAGCTCCAAGCCTTGGCGGGCAGATTAGATGAGGAGAGACTCATCAAAGACACCCTGATTCAGTGCAGGCAAGCAAGACTTGTTTTTATGAATAGAGCGGATGGCCAGGCTGCAGAAGAGGAAAGGCAAGGAGTAGATGTTAGTGAGTATGAGCTAAAGATTGGATGGGATAAATCCATTACAGTAATATCTCAAGCACCTGGAGAACAAAGTCTTCTTCGAAGGCAGGAGAAATGTCAAGAACCAGCCTAGTAGAAGAAAAGAAGAAAAAAAATAAATTAAATTGCATTTCACTTGGGATAACTAATTCTGTCAGGGTTGTTCTAGAATTCTGCTATTTGTCTTTCTTAAATAACAAATAAAAAATATTCATTAATTGCAAGCAGCAAAGGGGTATTAAGTCATGTACAAAAGATATTTACATGTCAGTCATACAATTGATAATCACTAAGCCCAAGGTTCGATACCATCTACCTCTAACCTTATCAACATCCTCTTCCACCCCTTCAAAAGCCCTTCTACTTTTTTTTTTTCTTTTCACACCACCCAAAAAATAGTAAGAGAAATAAGTCCTAAATATTTTTTCCTACCACCAACACCCTTCCAAGCCCAGAACTCCTCCCTAACATTATCCACCATTACCCACCTAATACCCAACATCGAATACGCCATACACCATGGATTATATGCTAGGGACACCATAAGCGACACCATAGAATTCTGCTATTTCTTTTTAGTGTACTCGAAAGGACATATGACAGCTGTAATTTCCTGGAGAATATTACCAGGTAATATTATCATCACTAACCATCTATTATTGGCTGCGTTCTTCTTCCCTCTTTCCCTTCTTTCTCCCTCTCCTTTTCCCTCTATTCTTCTCACCTTCTTCTATTCTTTTTTTCCTTCTATTCTTATTCCCTTCTCAAGTCCACAAAAAGGTGTTAGGAAACAAAATGGCACCAAATAAATGTAGGGTTTTTTAACGGTTATTTTGATGTTATTTTCTTTTCTTTCTAAATTTCTAGAATTGACTCTTAGCCGTTAGCATCGTACCAACCCATAGGTACCAGCTATATCACACCGGGTCCGCTAAAGTTGGTTATTTCCTATCCAATCATAGTCTTAGGATATTACTATTTAAAAATGGTATGACTAGGCTGTAGGCATGAGAATATTATGAATCTAACTCTCTATTTCTCCCTAATACTCTCCCTCCAATCCTTCTTCTATTCTTCTGTCTTCTGCTTTTCTCTTTCCTAACTTCTAGATCGCTCTTCACACAGAAACCCCAACTTGCTAAACAAGGATCCCCTGGTTGAATGAGCCAGGATCCTAACACCAGATTCCTGACAGGTATCAATAACATAAAAGCTGAGGCAAAGGAAGTAGTTAGGATACTAGAATGTCCTTAATTGAGCTGCCATAAAAAAGATTTTACTGCAAATTTATTAGAAACAAGGTAAAGCATTCAAGTGTAACATGTGAATTAGATAAAAGACAGTTACTACATTACCATGAAATGCCAAAATAATTACAGTTCAAAATTTTCTTAAAATAAAAGTTTTGAAAAAGTGGGATAAAACTTGAAAGGACCTACCATATATTCCCAGCCATGCTTCTCTGCGAATGCTGTTGCAGCTTCTTCACTGTCAAAACTGAGGACTACCTTGCTAACATTTGCATAGGGGTCTCCTGTGGATGTCCAGCCAATCAAAGGGTTCTTCCACCTGGCAAAACGTCAAATAAGAAAATGATATCTCTATCTCATGTATGTATCAAATTAATAGGTCTATCCACCCACCAAGATATACTCTCTTTCTGAAATAATTCGAGTTGAAATTGCTCAAGTGTCATAGAGATATTTTTTATAATTCAGCATAACTTAGTTCTTGTCTGTCTATTCTTCATTTCTTTTATAGATGATTGGAGCATTTTAAAGCTTGTAGATGTACATTAAATATTAAGAACAAGAATTTTCTCCAACGCATAAAGTGTCTGCCTGCAGCCCATCCCCGCCTCTCAGATATTTTTCCTCGCCCTTGTACTACTAAATCTAAAGAAACTGTTATGTTGCCAGTTATTACAGGATGTGAAATTAATATATAAATATGCATATCATATCCTTGGATAAAGAATTGTGAAAGGAACACACCTAACATATAACATGGTGACCTAGATGTGCCAATTCATGATAAGGAAGTAAGAGCTAAAATTACAGAAATATGTACTTTGGAAAAGTTTTCCAAAAACCTGGGCTTATTGTTAGGAGGAGAATTTGGCATTAGGAAGTTTTAAGCCTTAGGATCCTAAAATTTGTAAAGAGGCCATATAGAATATGCAATTGACTGCATACTTCTGAGTTGAAAGAAAATTAATTTTCCATCTTTCCACTTTTCCAGATCCCTGTTAGGTAGCACTTCGAACCGGTGACTAAATTACAACCTGCGACACATTAAAAAAATGGTGAAATTAAATCAATTTTGAAATGGGCAGTAAAGAAATAATAAAATATCATTTTACAACCAACAAGTTTCTTTGGCTGCAAAACAATAAGAAAGGTCATCATCCACTGAAAATTATTTTGCTGGAGCACTAGTAGTTTGGACATTCATTATATTTATAAGTGTATTTTAACTTTGTGTAATAAGAAAAACTGATGTGATCAGAAGAATATTCATTTGGTCCAATAAAACACAAAAAGTGTTGTGCCCCAGGAATACCCAATAATCTCTCGAAGTAGATAACATAGTGAAGAAACATTCTTATGAATGGAGGCCTTTCACTATAATCTTTTGCAAACATATTCATGCAATGAATAAGATGGAACATCCTAATTGGTTTATACTAAAGATCAATTACAGAATCAATGAAGTTTCTTCGTGCAAATCACTATATTATGCAAAATCAATTATTTCTTATCAGAGAGGAATGAAGCTTCTGCTAAGCCTAAAATATATCTTTCTTGAAGTCATTTACTGTTGGTTCATATTCTTGATTTATTAAAGTTTCTTAATCAAAAGCTAGTATGAAAAGAAACCTACAGTTCGACGGAAACTAAATCAAAAAACCAAAGTTGACAGAGAAACTAATATCGCATAAGGCAAAGTTCTCGACCACATCTTCTCCAACTACAAAGATCTGATTATTAGAAGATGTATAAACTTTATGTTTACATCGTCAAAGGGAATTGTGATTCCAATAACAAATGCATAGAGATGTCAAACAAATAAGTACAAAGGTTCTTTCTCCTCAAAGTTCTTTTCTAACAGAAAGTTGAAAGCAATGAATTACTGAATGAAAAACCACCACGCTTCAATCTGAGAAACACATTCCCAAAAAATTGACTCTAAACTGGCAGACAGGAAACCAAAGCAAGAATTAAGGTTATTACTTGGTACCAATGGTAGAGTGAAAATTTTAACGTAATAAAATATGCGCAAAGACTTAAAATGATGTTATTTTCCCAGCTAAAATGTATCTACCTAAACAAAGAGCGAGTAAAAAATTCTCACAAGTTCCAATTTACTCGGGAAAATGCTATTCGAAACCCTAATCAAGAAAGAAACCGGTTGTCCAATCACTGCTATTTGTATACATTCTCGGCAACTAAACAGATCATATCGAGTAGGAAATAATTCAATCAATTGAGAAGGAAGGCGTACCCTCCGTCAAAGGTGTTGCTCAGGGATGCTGGATACCATGCCCACCTCGCCGATCTTGAACTCTATCAGAGAATCGGACGATAACCATCTCGGCGAAGAAAGCAAAGCCGATTGTGAACCGTGAAGACGAACCAGGTTCGGAGCCACCCGTTGCACAGAGCTCGCCATTGATTGTTTCACTGAAACAGAAATTTTCTTTAGCAGCAAAGAATTTTCTGGTTTGTCAGCGTACAATCTCCGGGCAATGAAGATTAAGAAACGGAGAGTTAGGAGCTGGGGTAATTCACCAGAAGTTTCGCGCTTCTTTTGTGGTTTAAGGGTGACACGTGGATATAGGAAGACACCGACTTACAAAAAGCGGATTATTATTTATTGATTTTTTGTATGGGCTTTTTTGTTGGAATATTTTTTATTTTAAAATAATAAATAGCGGAAAAAGAATTAAAAGGATGTAAGCTGTTCACAGGGAAGAAGAAATCTATAAGAGTAAATTCATAAATCTTACAAAAAAAAAAAAAAGAAAAAAGTTCATTTAGTTCAATTAAGATGTTACACAAATTACGTCATAAAATTTAATTTTACATAGAATTTGAACAATGTATTCTAAAGCGGATAAAATTTAGAATGTATCATTTTATTTCACGTAGAATTGCATATAATTTTAACTTTTTTTTTTTTAATTTTAAAAAATGATTACTATTTTCAAAAATAGTGTGGCAATCTAATTTTTAATTAAAATTTCACATTAACAATTTTACTCTTTCAATTAAATTTATCAAATAAATCTCACTGGATTTGGGCCGAAGAGAACTTCGTCAACCTCACTGATGTCGTTTTGCATAAAATTGCCGTCGTATTACCGATTCAAGCAATGACGAAGAATGGCGGCTGCATATTCTTCGTTATCATCTTTTTCTTCTTTGTCACTTTTCCATAACCAGACGCCATTTGTTCTTCGTTTACATCGGTGATTTAGTCTTCATGTTTGCTTTTCTTCGTCGTCTTCTTCTCTTCCAAGCCTTGTTCTTGCTATTACTCACCATATTAACAACGACATCGTCTTCTTCCTTGCTCTCTGTAACTCCGGAGATCATCATCAATGGCACCCAATGTACATGACTCCACCATCGTGAAGCTGGAGCTTGCATGCTCGAATCTGAGAAACCTACTTCAAGCATCGGCGAAGATGGAGGAGAATCTCGAAGAGATCGATAAAGAGTTTGGAATAATGAAACAGACTCTCGTATCAGCAGCAAGAAGAGTAGCGCCTTTACAGTCCATGGCTATGGCAACCAAAGCTCTAGAAACCAGAATAAACCGAGCTGTATCTCCTGCTCTCTCCCTTCTCGAAACATTCAAAGTCACTGAGTCTCTGCAACACAATCTCCTCGAACTTTCCTCCGAGTTATCCGCCGAGACAAACCCGAAGAAGCGGCTCAAAAACCTGGTGAAGTACGTGGACTGCGTTGCTGACCTAAACGACGCCGTAAACTCCATTAGCCAAAATGGGGAACCAGTGATTCAGAAGCTTCAAGAAGTGGTGGAGTTCTTGAGCCGAACGAAAGCGACGGACCAGTTCAGAACTGAGAGATTGAAGGAGACGATGGTCGCGCTCAAGGCTCTGTATGAAACAGAGGTTGACGCGATGAGGTTTGAAGGGACGCTAGATGAGGCCTTGCTGTATTTGCAGGATGAGTTTGAAAGTATTCTGCAACGGATAAGGCATAAAAATATAGGAGAGTTGCAGAGTGATGATGGTGAAGAAGGAGATGGTGGGTTGGTTAATGATCTAGGTAGTGAGCTGGAGGTCAATATTCTCAGGAGAATTTCAGAAATTTTGGCAAATAATGATTGTTGGGATTTATGTATTGAAATCTATGTCAAGGTAAGTTTGATTAATCTGCTATTACTCTCTCTCTGTCTCTCTGTCTCTCTCTCTCTGTCTCTTTCTCTCTCTCTCTCTCTCTATATATATATATATATGACTAACAGAAAATTTTTTTTCTGGGTTGAAAAGGTGAGATATAGAAGAGCGGCAAAAGCGTTAATGAGGTTAAAACCAGATTACCTACGAACATATACGCCGGAAGAAATCGATAAAATCGAGTGGGAGAATCTGGAGAAATCAATATCTCTCTGGATTCAACACTTTAATCTGGCGGTCAAAACAGTCTTCGTTTCAGAAAAAAGACTCTGCAACCAAGTGTTGGGAGAGATTTCAATCATGGATGGATTCATCTGGCTCGAATGCTTCACTAAAATTGCAGATAAAATCATGGCAGTCTTCTTCCGATTCGGGGAAGGTGTTGCCAGGGGCAGCAAGGAGCCACAGAAGCTGTTCAAGCTCTTAGACATGTTTGATTCCTTGGAGAAGCTCAAGCCGAAATTTATTGAGATTTTCGAAGGCCAAGCAGGAGCCGACATTGTTGCTAGGTTCAGAGAGCTCGAGAAGCTGCTTGTTCATGCGTCTACTAAAGTTTTCTGGGAGTTTGGTCTGCAGATTGAAGGAAACTCAGATGGGTTTCCTCCGCCACAAGATGGATCAGTCCCTAAGATTGTCAGGTACGCTATTAATTACCTCAAGTACCTTGCTACAGAAACTTACAGTGTTCCCATGGCGAAAGTTCTTCGAACAGAACAAATATGGAAATCTGGGATTTTATCTAAACCCGAAACAGACGAGAATTTGCTTAAAGACGCCATTTTTGACATAATGGAAGCTCTTCAGAGGAATCTGGAGTCAAAAAGGTTACGTTACAGAGACAAAACTCTGGCTTCTATATTCACCATGAACACCTACTGGTATATCTACATGAGGAGCAGGAACACAGAGCTTGGTAAGCTTTTGGGAGAGCATTACATGAGGAAGAAATACAAGATTATAGCGGAGGAATCTGCATATTCTTACCAAAACCAAGCATGGGGACCTCTGGTACGGATTCTAGCCAAAGAAGACGAAGAGTTAAACAGCACAGAACAAGACAAGGACGCCATAGGAGGTATTGTGAGAGGTAAAATGGAATCTTTTCTCAAGAGCCTGGAAGAAATAATGGAGAGTCATCGAGTGGTTTATAATATACCGGATTCTATTCTGAGAGAACAGATGAGAGAAGCGACAGTGAAGTTGGTGGTGCCGGTTTACAGTGAGTTCTCGGAGTTTTACTCGAATATTTTGGGGGAGATTAAATCGATTGTTTGTCCGGAGACCTTGCAGAGTTTACTGGTTCAGGTCTTCAATGGCGGTGGTGAGCGAGTGGAAGGGAAGTTCACGCGCCGGGATAATTCAAAGGATGTTCGAAGTGGCGACGAAGAGATTGCGGTTTCCATGAACTGAGTGAGAGACGGGGTTTTGATCAATAATATACGCACCCATATATATACACACTGTGAACCATAATGTATTGTGAAATATGTATACGAAGATCATATAATATATACACTGCCAACCTATATAAATTAAATAGTTATTGCATGTAAATTCTAATCTTGATTTGTTTCTCTACACAAGTTCTTGATAGTTTTAGTTTTTTCTTATAAATTCATGGAATTCTGAATATTTTTATCATAATTACAAGTTAAACTTTTCACTATTTTCACTGTGGATATTTAAAAAAAAAACAATTGTAATGGATTTTTATACATATTTTTGTTTTTTTTAACACTTCTAATTTTTATAGCATATTAGTTAAATTCTTCTGGTATTTTTTTTAAGGAAAATTGTTCACTATATTATTTTATATTATTTAAATTGTTATATTAAATTATTATTTAAAAAATTTAAACGTAATTAATAGATATATATATTTTTATTATTAAACAGATGCTCACTTAACAAAATATGTATTCATGCAAACATCAAACTTTAAAATATTATTAATGTGATAAATTATGTGATTATTAATTTACTCTTTTGTAATGTTATACTTTTAAATGTTTTTAAATTGTTTGATAGTGCTTAAATAAAAGTTGAAAACTATTTGAGTAAATTAGTGTTGGAGATTTTCTTACTGTTTTATGTCTATTTATAGTTTTATATTTAATTTATGAATATTTAGATATAGAAAAACTGATAGGAAAAGAAAGAAAAACTAAATGTAGTTGCTAGTGCGGAAGTCACCTTACTGTAATACAATTACCGCAATATTTTTAAAATTTCATATCACATAAATACATTGTTTGTTATGCAAGTATCTGCCTAACAATTTAAAATATTGATTTGTTAATAAAAATTATTCTATTAAAATTTAAAAATATAAAATAATTTTTGAATTGAAAAATAACGTGTAAGGTAATTAGAATTTTTTAATAATATAAAAAATTATTTTTAAAATGTATTATCCTTATAAAATTTATATTAGTTGTTGCAAATAATTAAAAAAGAGAAAAAAAAAATGTATTAGAAGAGCTCAACTCAATATAAGAGTTCATTAAATCGACAAATGGGCGTCAGAGAACAACTGTTTACCCAACAAGTGTAACGACCTTAGAAATTCTAAAAATAATAAATTATAAATTTAGTACGGAAGTGAAATAAATAGTTAGGGTTTACATTCGTTATAATAATTCAAATTTTTTAATAGGATTACGAAAATGACATTTTTAAAAGAAATAACAAAAAATTAAAGAAATAAACGTAAAATAAATAATTGGATATCCTACTTGCAACCCTCATGTGGATCTGACTCTGGATTCTGATTTTCTTGATCTGAAATGGTTAATGAAAGAATGAGCTACACTAACCCAGTAAGAATATCACGCCACTCACTGATACAAAAATGAAAGCTAATATAAATTATGAAAATAACTAATAGAGCTCTTAGTTTAAATAAATTCATTTATTATAAATAAAATTATTTACCGCATACTAGCAAGATTTCTAAAAAAATAACATATAGAGTCAATAATGTAATACATATCATAATTTTATTTGCAATCGGTTGGAATAACAATTTTCTCTTTCATCAGCCTATTAGTATCCGTGGGGGTCCATAGGGATGTTCCCACTCTGCGTGAACCATTTCTTTTAATATTTTCAATTAACAGGCTGTCCTCATACCCTGTCCGGTATGAGCACCAACTTATTAAACCTCGATAGTCCGTCTGATATGAGGGTGAAACGAGCCGTCCCTATACCCCGTCCAGTATGAGTGCTAAATTACCAAATCTTGATACCCAATCCGGTATAAGGCAACATTCACGGTGGGGTTCCCTATGCATCTGATCCGTCCACTATCTCTTAGAATATCCAGTAAGGCTGCCATTTCATGAATTTACTTAATCAAATAATTTTTCGTTTACCTTTAATTTTCAGGTTTCCCATTTCAACTGTAATCACATAAAATAAACAATACATGCATTTAAACTATAAAATTAATCAATCAGGTATTATCATGCATTCAAACTGTAAAATCAATCAATAGGATCAACAGTGAATAATTTTCGATTCTAACTCATTCGTAACCAGTAATTAATTATGAATAATTTTTAAATTACACAAAATACCGTATTATTATTGATTAGACTTCAATTATATAACAGAGAATAAGGTGAGGATTCTTACTCAAATTGATGTTCGAAATGCTAAACTTTTGGCTACGCCTACTGGCGGTCCCTAGGTTCCCTGAATTTTCCTTCAAGGATTAAAACGCGCTTCAAGTACCTAAAAATATCCCAAAAAATTCAAAATTAGTGTTAGGAACCCTTTTTGGCCAATTCCAGAATTCCGGCATGGTGGCTCCATCGTGCTTTGGCAACGGCATCGCCGTCCGTGGCAGTGGTTTGCCTCGGGTCGGCTATTTTCGGCCGAATTTGGCCGGTTTTATATTAATCTTTGTGAGAAAACACGTTAAGGGGCCTTGGTTGGCCGAAAAAATTGAAAAATCGAAACTTACCGGCGGCGTGGTTCTCTGGTAGGGCGGCTCCGGCTGCTCACATTTGCGGTTGGGTGTTTTGCTTCGGTCAACCTATAAAAAGAAAATGGTGATTACAATGGTGGAAGAATTACACAGAACGGGAATCGGGAAGGGCCTCATCGGAGGTATTTTTTGTAATTTTCTGCAGCGGCGTCAGGTTTTGCCTGCAGTTTTCGGCAAATCTACCGGTCATTTTGCTCCGATTTGGCCATGGGAGTGTTTAAAATCAAATTTTGAGCAAAGAAATTTTTTTTCTTATCTCTTTTGGTGGTCAGAAGTTGCTCTGGCGCGACAGCAGGCGGGCTCGCCGACGGTTTTCTTCCTGGCGGCTGACTCTCCTTCTCTAGTGGGGTGTCAGGTGGCTAGGGTTTTGTGTGAAGAAGATTATTTATATTCATCCCATTTTAATATGAGTCGTCCATCACATTTGATCTATACCGTCCGATCGTGATTAAATAGGGAGTGAATATGGACTATTCATCGCAATTTGATTTGGGCTACCCGATTGCGTTTAAATAAGAAGTGGATCTGGATTGTTCATCATGTTTAAATCTGATCGTCCGATTGCGTCTGGAGAAGGAATAGATCCAGACCATCTGTAAGCGCGGAAATGAATCTGGATCGTCTAATCGTGGGCATGCAGATCGTCCACGTGGCACCAGGTCAGCGTCCCTTGCCACTCGGCGCGCTCCGGTTCGTCGAGGCTGCTGATTGGGCGTCTTGTGTGGTACAATTTTTTAAAATTGCGTTTTAACCCCTAATTTTTTGAATTTTCTTTCAAAAATAATCCCAGAATTTAAATTTTTACATATTTTTTCCAAAATTATTTTCAATTTCATCATTCATTTAATTTTCTCCATTTTTTCATTAAATAATAAATAAAAAAATAAATTTTAAATTATATATATTAATTTGAATATTATAAATTAAATTTTGGATATTACAACTCTCCCCCCTTAAAAGAAATTTGGTCCCTCAAATTTATATTTCTCTCACTCAATCAAACTGTAAGAGATATTAGGCTCTGAAGTCTGATTCTACCTCCTCTGTGGCATCTCTTGGTGTGTGATTTTGATATAGGACCTTAACAAAGAGAATTTTTCGGTTGCAGAGTATTCTGCTCTTTCGGTCCACAATACTAACTGGTACTTCCTCGTAGGACAAATCCTTCTAGAGTGAAAGAGGCTCATGGGCCAAAACGTGAGAGGGGTCCGGGTTGTACTTGTGCAACATGGAAACATGAAACACATTATGGACCCTAGAAAACTCTGGAGGAAGTGCCAATTGGTAGGCGGTGGTGCTAATTCGGTTTAAGATTTCAAATGGCCCAATAAACTGGGGGTTTAGTTTCTCTCTCTTGCCAAACCTACTGATTTTCTTGAAATAGGTGACCTTAAGGAACACCCGATCACTTTTCTCAAATTCTAAATTCCTCCTCCAGGTGTTTGCATAACTCGTCTACCTGTTCTGAGCCGTCTGAATGTTATTCCTAATCTTAACTATTTTTGCTGTAGTCTCCTCTACGAGATTTAGACTGAACAGTTTCCTATTACCCACTTCTTTCCAACATATCAGTGATCTACATGGGCGGCCATACAACGCCTCGTACGAATCCATGCCAATGCTTGTTTGGTAGTTGTTATTGTAGGCGAACTCTATCAGGGGTAAATGATCATCCCAATGGCCCCCGAAGTCAAGAACACAAGCTTGGAGCATATCCTCAAGTGTGTGGATAATCCTTTCTAACTGTCCATCGGTTTGAGGGTGGAATGTAGTACTAAGGGACAGTTTTGTTCCCATGGCTTGCTGAAAACTATGCCAGAACCGAGAAGTGAACCTGGGGTCCCTATCAGATACTACCCTCACTGGCACTATATTTAATTTGACTATCTCCCAGATATATATTATTGCTAACTTGTCTAAGGAGTTGGTCATCCTGATGGCTAAGAAGTGGGAAGACTTGGTAAGTCGATCAATAATTACCCAGATGGTATCGTATCCTGAGTATGTCCTAGACAATCCTATCATGAAATCCATTGTGATATGTTCTCATTTATACTCCGGGATTGATAATGGCTGAAGTAGCTCACTTGAGCATTGATGCTCTGTCTTGACCTGCTGTCATACCAAACACTTAGAAACAAAGTCAGCCACATCTTTTTTCATCCCGTTCTACCAAAATTAGGATCGCATACTTTGATACATCTTAGTGCTTCCAGGATACATGATAAACTTTGAGCTATGGGCCTCTGTCATGATGTCCCTTTTTAACTCACTGTCACCTAAAACACACACCCTCTCTTGAAATCTAAGCAACTCATCGGCAGAGACTCGAAATTCTGAATTAACTCCTTGTTCTGTATCTTTCTTGAGGGCTGCTAAGGTGGAATTGGTGGACTGAGCTTCATTTATTCTTTGGATTAACTTAGTTTGAACAGTCTGGTGGTCCAAACATATGACTCTCTTAAGGTTATGAAGTCGTACTTATTGTGCGGCCCCTATTACCCTGCATTTTGAAATCATCAAGTGAGATAATATATTTGCACTTTTTTG